GAGTAACAATTCCTGGGACAGCAACTTCCCAAACATTTCTTTTGGATCTCTCGCTCTCCCTTCTGCAGCATGTTATCCACTTTCTCTAATTTGAGTCTTACACTTTCCAGCCAGCCTTCAACTTGGTTGGAACGCTTACGATATTGCTGCTCTGCAAGCTCAACCCTGCTCCTAATATCTTTTCTAATGTTCTCGAGCTCATGCCTTGTCTGTCTAAGTGAAGTCAAGTTCTCTTGGAGATGACTGATGATAGCAATGCGATTGGAAGTGCAATTGCACAGTGTTGGGAGAATGTTCATGATTGGACCCAAGAAATCCATGATCACCAAAATTGAGAGTTTAGAACAATTGGTGAAACCCAATAGATGTTAAGCAACCACAAACAACACCAAGTTGGCTACAATGACCAAACTTATGGAGTTTTGAGGTAGAAGAGGCGTGGTAGAAAGAAGGGACTTGTGTGTGGAGATTATACAAGGATTTCTGCTACAAAAATAGTTTGTTTTGGTTCATACACTTTTCTCCTATAGCGCCAATCGGCACCCAGTCGAGCAGAGAGCTTTAGGCTTTAGACTTTGAACAATGTAATTTGTCTTCATTCTTTATTTACCCAAACTACGACTTTAACTATTTTCGTTTTTCAACTGAAAAGTCAGTAAAAAGTTGGCAGCATAATTAGAACTTCTAACAGTAATTTTTTTGCAACAGGGAAAAAATTTAAGGTAGGCCTTCCTATTCAAAATATATAGCATCAATAATCATTGACTCTCAATATGTAAATGGAGTTTTTCTTCTCTTCAATTTCTTCTACTTAGAAACCGCCACAAAAGTAGCACCGAAAGAGAGACAGGATGTTTCACATGTTTTATTTTATTTTACTTTTTGATTAATTTATAAAAAAGAAGAGAATGACGTTTTGAATTTGAATATCAAGTTAAATAACTAGTTCACCATGATATGTTAAAGTTAATAGCTTGAAACTAATGGTGGGATGGCGGCGTTAGTTTCCAAAATCCGGAGGAGAAACAGTGACTGAAACAAATCTTACCGTGAAAATAATCAAGCCCTGAAAAAAAACCTTTAAAAAAAAGAGAAGACAGTTTAAGTCTAAAAGAAAGGGAAACAAGTTCCCACCCAAGGATTAGGGTAATTACATTGTCCCACACAAAAATTTTAAAAAAAAAAAAAAAATTCCCATCCATCAGTAAAAGTTAGACGTTAGTTTCAGCGGTGAAAAAAACATTATCGTCTTGCAAAAATGATGATACTATAGGGTTAATATCGCTTACACCCCTAAAAGACAAACATGTACCAATTGTCTTCACAAACTTGGGAACTACTCACTTAGACCCTCTATCTTCAATTTCTACATTAAAATGGAGGTTTGACCTCGATTGACCGATGAAATTACATATATGTCCACATCCACATATTTTTTTGGACTATTTCACCCCTATTTTCTCACTTAAATTAGTTGTGTTTCTATAAAAAAATGCAAAAACTTTTCATTTGTAATAATCTATAAAGTAAAAAATTATAAAACCACAAAACAATTTCTCATCAAAAATGTAATTTTTGCAAGAGAAAAAATAAACTGAAAAATTGTAAAAATAAAATAAAAACCTTTGAAAAATATATAAAAAGTCGCACCTGACTAGGTGCGATTTCGACCAAATCACACAAGTCCCCATGTGATTCCGGCTGATCGCACCACGGCTAGTGCAATTTGGCTAGAATCACACCAAGCTAGGTGCAATGTGGCTTGAATTGCACTAACCCAAGTGCGATTCTGACAAAATTGAGTGCGATTCCAACCAAATAGCACCCAGCTTGGTGTCAAACAGTAAAGGGTATTATAATCTTTTCGTTTTTTTACTGCTATTAGATGATAAAATTCACTAAGGAGATTGATGATGGCTGGGAAAATGTTTTTTCAACGTTTTTAGGTGGAAAAACAGTATTACGCTAATGCTTGGGTGGCAAATTGTCAATTTGTCATTCACTCGAAAGGGAAACAACAATGATGGCATCAAAGTTCAGTGATGCTTAAAAGGAGCTCGAATCACAAATGGCTGCTAATTGTGCATACATGACTCACCATTAGAAATTTTATAATAAAAATCTTTTTCATGAATCCAGCTATACCTCACTCTGAATTTTGCAGTGCTGCAATTCTCTTACGCACCTGGTGCTATTTAATTATCTTTTAAATAAATGTTTTGTTAACTTTATATCCCAATTTATCATCTTTTTGTATTGCTACAGTATGTTTCATAAGGAAACTATAGAAATATGAAATTCCATTGTAAAGCACAAAATAATCCGTAATTTTAGGCATATTAAATTGAAAATGCTTGTCAATACATAGGCCACAGTACATTGGTAGCATTTTTTATTTTATTACGCAAAGTATTAATCCATAATCATCAGAGTTAAATCTTGAAACCGCCCCAGATTAGTACAATGTATACCCAAGTGTTGATGTGTGATTTTTGCACCAACCAAAAAGCACATGTAAAACGTTGAGTTATCCCAGGAAATACACGTGGATGTAGGTGAAAGTCGTAGTAAATGTAGTGGGGAGAGCTTTTTAAAGTGGTTCGGATGCTAAGGTAGCAAGTCCTACATCCATTGATGTTTGTATTAATGTTAGGGGTCAGGTCGCAATAGCGGTCTGACTTACAAATGATTTACAAAAGATAAGCTGAATGAAAGTACAAGGGAAAGAATAGCTAATTAAGGGTAAAAATGGGCCAGTCCCCTAAATGAGAGAGTAGTCTCCAATTTATAGTGGGATGGATTGAAGTAATGATCATTGAATCTGTGAGTTGGTGGGAGTGTCAGGGCAAATCCTTTTTTATGTCACATTGTCCACCTTCCAGAGTGATTTGTGCGATTTGGAGCAGGGAATTGACACGTGGGATCGTCACAGCTTCTGGCTGGTCTGACGTGCGCCTACCGTTCTGATAGGAGCAGGCTACCCTCTTGTTCACGTGACTCCCTACGTCAGCCCTATATTTTCCAGGCATAACACCAAGTAATACTTTTGCCCTACTTAAAAATAACTCTCTTTACATGTGTATATTTCCAACTAAGTGTAAATATGATAGACCTTATATAATACTACAGTATATTTGATAAGAAATTGAGACTATAGAAAGATGAATATTCATTGTGAAGCACGAGATAATCCGTAATTACATGCATATTAAGTTGAAAATACATGTGGATACAAAGACTAAAGCATGCACCATTTAGTTTACATTGAAGGAAGACAGACGAAAAACTCTTATCTGGAGTCAACAACTACTCAGGAATGATGCAGAGTTCGAACACTTGCAAGAGATCCGCCAGATAGCACAACTACAAAGATAAATAGTGAAACAGAAAAGTGTAATTACATGGAAATTTACAGAGAAATGACAGCATCTAGGTAATTCAAAAAATTTTCACTTAAGATTTTATTGCATAAATCAGAAATAAAATTTGGAACTAGAGTTTCTGTAGTGCAACTAGAAGCTTGATGAAGCTTATCATGAGACTCATAATTGAAGTTATACATACATGTAACCCTCAATTGATTCAATCGACAGGTTTATTATATCCTTCCCATTATGATGTGATTGTTTTGTAGTAAGATTTTCTTAATACTTAAATTAATTAACTACTTTAACTGAAGATCTTAGTACGTTATTTTATGAAATAATCTCTAATTAACAACAATTAATTGAATTTATAAAGAAACAGATCTCTTGCTAATTGTTAGTAACCCGTGACAATTTCAAGCAAAAAGGGTCATATGCGTAATAGAATAAGAAGGGATTTGAAAGTTTACTCATGTTTTAAGTGCGTTTTTTGCTTTTCATTTTCCACAACTTGGCTTGACCGATTCAGATTTCCTGAAATGTTGTCTGCTTTCTACTTTTTTCAGCAACCTGCTTTTGTCTGCTTCAGTATGCTTTTTGTATTTCTCATGTTAACAGACTATGAACATCTTATAATTTTGCAGAAGTATGTTTAAAGTTTTCTGCACTCATACAAACAAAAACGCAAGAAGAAAATTCATGAACAATCATCAATCAGAAAGAATATGAAGTTATGAAGTAAATTGCAAAGCGTACATTTGGTATTAGTAAGTTCAGTGAAACAAAATTGAAAAAAGAGGGAGAAGAAATATAGATTAAGGAGTTGAAAATACTAACAACTTCAATTACTCGAAAGTACATAACTCCTTTGTATCATTAAAATTCAATATGATAATGAACAAGATGTTTTAAAAACAAAGAATTAGAACAATATTACCAGACTTTAGTCCTTAAGTGTTTCGATGAGATCAAGTATAATAAATAATGTTCAATTGAGAAATTGAGTTGTGTTTGTAATTGAATTATGAAATGTTAAGCTTCTTGTACGTTAAGAGAAAAAGAGAAATAAGGGAGTGTGGGGTTGTAGGAGTTGAAATGGGCTGTTGGGCTACCAGAACCGGCCACTAGAAGGAAGTGTTATTGAAATAGCTGAAACGGGCTGCATGCAAGCTAAAAGTATGGGCCAATAGCGTGACACCGGCCTGAGCTGCTGTCGCGCTTGCACAAGAATTTGTTGTCATATTTAAGAAAATAAAACTAAAATGCCAAAAACCGAAATGCATCATCTTAGTTATGTGAAACACGAATATCCCGAATTAAAACACATATATCTTTAAATTCCAAAACTAATAAGTAAAAATAAGAGATGTTACAAACAAAGAAATGCTTAGAAATAATGAAATATTACTTTTTTTTTTTTTTTTTGCTACTGTTTCTACAACTCATGGTTTGCGTATTCAAATTAAGAAGTGTTAATCATATTGGCCATGTATAAGCAAAATATGTTGGATCAAAATTCAAAACTACCTAGGTCAGAAGGTATATGTAAAGCACAAAGAGGATATGTAGCATGGTAAATTTAAGATACATCTCAAATCTCAATAAACAGAAACATCACACCAATTTCAATGAAGATGAAGAAACAAGAAAGAAAAACCATAACTCCAATTCAGTTTAATTATCATAGTTTTGAGCATCACATGCCCAAGGACACAACAAACAAAGCATAAATATCTAGAAGTACTGCTCGCACTTGTTTTTGGAATCCGCAGCTGCACAAGAACAATACAGATATTGTTGACTCTGTGCTCAAATTTAGGATTTCTTCACGCAAGCATCCAACTGATAGACATTATAGCAAAGCAATCTGAAAATCAGTGATCCAGATCGATCAAGACAATATATTGTGGCAACAATGAAGCAGAGTGGTTTCCAGGAGATAATTACGGATAACCATTACATAGACAATCTAATCGACAGACTTCATTATGAATGAAAGAATTACAATCTCACAGCTTTCAAGAGAAATCCTCCAGTACAGAGCGTAGAAGAGCTAATAATCCACCAGTAAATCTGAGAATCTTGCGTGCGCTGGGTTTCTGAGTCACAAAAAACATGATAATCCCTCCCAAAATGCACCGATGCACTTATTTGGGTCGTCGCTAAAAAATGAGCAAGAAGAATCAAAAAGAGAAAGAAAAGGCTTCAGAATGATTTTGTTTGCTGAAACGCATGTCAAGTAGCTAAGAATGTGTGGACATTGGCTGCCTTTTATACTGATAAATCTATTATGACCAAGTACTACTTTACACAACCAACAATGAATCCCATATTACATGGATACGACTTTTGTTTAATGGCTTATTTCGAGTTCCTTCCTCGTGTATGTTTTCAAAAAATTTCTTCCCAGCTAATTGAACTGCTAAATGTCATTTCAACCCTTCTTATTTTCTACTTCTAATACAGGCCTTATAAAATACATGCCACTCACTCTTAGTTTTAATATCTTTCAATTTTACCGTTATAAAATTGACCTTTTTAATTAAATAACCAACAAACCACTCAATTTATCATTTAAGTTAATATAAAAATTAAGTCTTATAATACTTATATTTTTAAATACATTATTTCATAATCAAATTTTTAATTAAGTTATCAATATACCTTTCAATCTATCATTTAAATTAATAAAGAAATCGAGCCTTACTCTATTTATATTTTCTATAAGTACATAATTCTGAGACAATTAACTATAGTGTCAAGAGTAAGTCAAAAACGATAAAAATATTGTCTAAATTTCTTCACATTCTAAAAAAAGTCAAGGAAAACCACAATTGTCAAGAGCTAAGTGTCAATGAAGCTAGTTTTTCATCAGTAATGCTTAATTTTGTAATTTGATAGCATTTTACTCTTTGAGATTTTTGTAAGAGAGGAAATCAAAGAAGAAAGCTAAAAATTGTCTCTCCCCTCACCGCTCTCCGTATTTAATTAAAAACAATGTTATAGCTCTACTCTAAATCATGATCAACAATGTATAAGAAACTACTAATCTCCTTGATCTAACACTAAATATAGGATGCAATCCTACTTTCTGAGCAATGATGTAAATTTTAAATTGTTTGCAGGAAATAAACTTAAATACTACAATAAAATAAAATTAATAGATCTAGATCAGATACTTACCTTTCCTCAAACTTTGTTCCTTCATATGTATAACTTGGCCCATCTGACCACCAATCATCTACTATGAACTGTGGAAAATTGTCGGAACAAGATTGTGCTGCTAATCCTGAGATGGGTGCTGTCTGTGTCTGATGCATAGAGGAATAAGAAACTTTTGAACTCAAATTCTCCCATTCCAGCTTATCCCACCACTCTTGACGTCCCAATACTGTCACTCTACTGTTATTCTCGTTGACAACGTCAAGTGGGAGTTTTGTTAGGCTTTGGCAATTGATTACCCATATCCTCTCCAGGGAAGGGAAGTGCATGACACGGCATATGCTCTTTAGACGTGGTAGATTACAAAAATTCAATTGCTTCAGATTTTTAAACATGTTGGAGTCTTCTGATGAAGAGCCGAATTCGTACGGAATTATTTCTTCCAACAAGGGGCAGTCAACAGCAAAAACAAATCTAAGCATTGCAGCATATCTAAGGCATGCCAAATCTTTTACCAAACACTTCTTGATATAGAGATCATGAAGGTTGTCGAAACGGCCAGAACTTAGAACTGAAGAGGATATGTTGGGCGAATGCAACTCCTCCTTCTCACACTTCTTGATATAGAGATCATGAAGGTTGTCGAAACGGCTGTAACTTAGAACTGAAGAGGGTGTGTTGGGCGAATGCAACTCCTCCTCCTCCTCCTCCTCCTCCTCCTCCCCCCCACACTTCTTGATATAGAGATCATGAAGGTTGTCGAGACGGCTGTAACTTAGAACTGAAGAGGGTGTTTTGGGCGAATGCAACTCCTCCTCCTCCTCCTCCTCCTCCTCCTCGCACAGGATTACCAACCTTTTAACACGACTTTGTAACTTGGGGGATGATTTAAGTTTAAATACAGCATCGACTGTAAAAAAGGTGACACTAATTTCTTCTATATCTTCCAAGCCCTCCAACTCTTGTAACAATGTTGTATTCCAAAAGGAATGAAAAAACAGCAGGCTATTTTTAGTTGGTACCCTGCTGAATACTTGTAGTGATGAAAGACTTGATATCACTCCTTCTGAAATGGCTTTAAGATATGTCGTTCCATCTAAGAGCAGGAACCTCAATTTTGTCAAACTTCCAGCCACAATTGGCAACTCTTGTATGCTTGTATCCGACAAATTAAGATACTGCAAATTTATCATTTCAAGCATCGCAGGCAACCTAGTTAACAAAAGATTCTTTGACAAGTCCAAAACTTTCATGCCTTGCATAGATTGAAACCATGAACTAGGAAATGTCGTAACTGAAGTCTGTCTAACAAAAAAAGTCAGCAGACGCGGACAAAATGGTGTTTCACTGAAAAGTTCAATATTTCCACCCCACAGTGATACTCTTACTGCCTCCTTCCATGTAGCAATGCCATGTTGTTTAATGGATTCTTGATTTTCATAGACTACTATCTTGTTGTCCTTTACCGAAGCTAACCACAGAGCCATATCACGAAGGACGTCGTGCATCTTAACATAATCATCAGAATCTCCAACCTGTTCCAATAGACATGCATTTTTCAAACTTCCAATAATATACTCTCCTGCACATCTTGCATCCTTTAAACCAAGATCATGTAAAATTCCCTCCGCAATCCAGAGTTCAATAAGTTCATCTTTTCTAATCATATGATCTTCTGGAAACATGGAACAATATAAAAAACAATTTTTGTGTTTATCATCCCTCAAGCTATCATAACTAAACCTCAAAACTCGGAAGACATGACTTTCCATATCCGTAAATTCAGATGGTTGACTCCGCAGTGTGTTGATTGCATAGCGCCATTCTTCAGGTTTTCTCCTATTAGACATGGCCCTTCCAATAGTGATCAAAGCAAGCGGCAAACCTTTGCACTCTTTGGCAACAGTTTTAGCAAGCTCTGGAATTTCTGGATGAGAATTCAGAACATCCTCCTTCACACATTGCTGAAACAAGTCAAAGGATTCTTCAAATGACAACCAATTCACTTCAAATTTTTGGACAGCGGGGTCCATGCTATCGCACACATCCTTTGATCGGGTTGTAAATACTATTTTTGACCAATTTTGATGGTAGGAAAGATCAGGAATTCCCATCTCTCTTAGGTCTATTCTCTCCCACAGATCGTCTAGCAATAGCACAAACTTTTTTCCACCTAAGCTTCTGCAGATTTCTGTAGCTCTACTATGCTCGTCTGTCTTAGTTTTCCATGTTTCATCTGGAATCTGTAATTTATGCCGTATAACTTCTTGAATTCCATCCAAGTTCACTTCTTTAGACACCGTAACCCAAATCACCACACCAAAATCAAGTCTATTGTCGATGAATTTATTGTTAAGTTTCTTTAAAAGGGTGGTCTTACCAACACCGCCTATCCCATACATGCCAATGATTCTCACTCTGCGGTCGTCAAGACATCTCCACACGTCATCCAGTATTGAGTCCATGCCCATAGTCTTGTCCACAGGTATCTCATCCACTGGAGCCGGCGGTAGTTTTTCAGAAATATCATCCAAAGATTTGAATTCCTTCCCTTTCTTTATTAAATCCTTCAAAGCCTCAGTCCCCTTAACTACTTCTTTACCAAGCTTGTAGCCAGAGTAACAATTCCTGGGACAGCAACTTCCCAAACATTTCTTTTGGATCTCTCGCTCTCCTTTCAACAAAACTTTCTGCACTCCCTCTAATTTGAGTTGTACGCTTTCCAGCCAGCCTTCAACTTGGTTGGTACGCTTACGATATTGCTGCTCTTCAAGCTCGACCCTGCTCCTGACATCTTTGCTGATGTTCTCGAGTTCAAGCCTTTTCTGACTTAATGAAGTCAAGTTCTCTTGGAGATGACAGATGACAGCAGTGCGATTGGAAGTGCAATTCCACAGTGTTGGGAGAATTTCCATGATTGGACCCCAGAAATCCATGATCACCAAAACAAAGAGTTTAGAACAATTAGTTAAACCCAATAGATGTTAAGGAACCACAAACGACAAGAAGTTGGTCACCATGACCAAACTTTGGGAGTTTTGAGGTCGAAGAGGCGGGGGAGAAAGAAGAGACTTGTGTGTGGTGTGGAGATTATACAAGGATCTGAGCTATAAAAATAGTTTGTTCTGGTTCATACACTCTTCTCCTAGATCGCCAATCAGCAGCCAGTCGAGCAGAGAGCTTTAGGGATTAGACTTTTGAACAATGTAATTTGTCTTCATTCTTTATTTCTAACTTTCAACCCAAACTACGAGTCTACGACTTAACTATTTTGGTATTCAACTGAAAAGTCAGTAAAAAATTGGTAGCATAATTAAAATTTACAACAATAAATAACATCAATGATCAATTAACTCTCAATATGTAATAGGAATTTTTCTTCTCTTCAGTTTCTTCTAATTTAACACTACCTAGAAACTACCAAAAAAGTAGAATTCTCTTCACGCACCGAAAGAGACAGGAAGCAGCTTTTGGGCCTACCATATTGACTAAAGTTGTAATAGAAATCTTGTTTCATGAATACAGCTATATCTCACTCTGAATTTTGTACTGCTGCAATCCTCTTATGCGCCTGGTAATATTTCATTATCTTTTAAATAAATGTTTTGTTAACTTTATATCCCACCTTATCATCTTTTTGTAGTGCTGCAATGCAATCCTCTCTTCACACCTTGGAGGGTGGCGGTGTTGTTGCGATGTTGCTACCATCCTTGCTCACGGCCACACCATGCCTTGCATCGTTTGCCATCCTAAAGGCTAAAAATTGATATAAGATAGGTGTAAAATTAGGGGGCTGTTATTGATACTATCTGGGGAAGGATCAATGACCACTTAAAACTATACCATTTTTTACATCGAATATTAGCTTTTAGATGATACAATTATCAATGATGTAGATTTGAGTAGTAGAGACAAATTAGCTTTTAGATGATACAATTATCAATGATGTGGATTTGAGTGGTAGACAGAAGTTAGCTTTAACAGTAGATGTAATTAATATGAGAATTAAAAACAAGTGGATGTTTAATTTGATGTTTTTCTTTTTTCTCTCCTCTCCAAATCCATGGCTCTTAGAATAAACCGAGTTTTGCCGAAAAACAATAAACCCCTTCACGGACCGGTAATTACACTAAATCCACTATCTTTAGTGTTCTTTCCTTAGTTTTAACTAGGAAAAGGGTAAAAGAGTAAATGCCTTAATTTGTTAAAAATAAATATATAATTATATCAAGAAGAGGATCCAAACCTTGATATAAATAGTTGGATACTCGCATCAATAATTTATTGTACACTCTTTGCTGTTGATATAAATTATCAATAGTTTTTACTAATTTATATTATAAAGTATCGAAAAATTTAATTAGCCTTAATTTAAACACCAAATTAAAAAAAATAATCAAATTTTGCATGATTTTTCTAATGTGAACCACATATGGCCTTCTGCAATGAAATGATGTAACTGATTGTTGTGGGTGGTGTTGAAAATTGCAAATAGATCACATGCAACGGACCACACAATCGTCAACTACGACCAGAAACATAATTACGACCAGTCAATGGAAACTAGGATGCTGTAACAACTAGTTTTCCTTTTTGCATTTTTGAGGGCAGGAGTCCACACAATCGTCAACTTCTTCATCTGCACAATTATTAGTATTATTATTACTGATTAGTTGAGGAATACAAAAGTCGAATACGTTTACTATGAACCTTCCCAAATTTTTTATATGCATCAACAATTATTAAACTATTTTCCAGCTTTCACGTAGTTCTCTGATTTATTCTCTCTGAGAGGTGTTCAGGGCCTATCTTGCCTCATCGGTCTGCAAAGTGCATCTGGAGCATAAGTGTGATGGCTGCTTTTAAGAGAAAACATACTTTCAAGATAGATAGCATAAGAATCAAATAATATCTCACAAAGAAACGATATTTATGTGGTTCGACATAACATTATTAGTAATACATTTTTCTAAGCCTTTATAATTAGAAATTTTATGTATTATTGATACGAGTACTTAGAAACACTTTACTATGTGATACAGTGGGATACTTAGAAACACTTATTATATGATAATATAATTCGAAATATTATATTACACAATAATTTCAAATTTTATTAAAGGGTTGCAATCAATATTTCAATGAAGAGTAATTAGATATAAAGAATAAAGAAAGAATATCTCTTGGAGATAATATAGACTATGGAGGTAGACAATATTGAATGGCATTTTTTAATATTGAAATTGATTTAATGTGGACAAATTTGATGTTAATTATCTTGACATCAAGAAACCCCCTTTAGGTAATCAATATTTTATTTGATCTAGCTAGGCAAAATTGACCAATTATTTTAAATGAGTGACATTAAATTTAAAAATTAAAATATAAATCTTATAGGTTACATTTGACAGACAATATTATTCAAACATCCATCCGTAATGTTTGGTGTAAAAACAAAAATCTCTTAAAGTATGAAAAATAACAAAACTTACCATGTCGTTAATTAACCGTTAGTGGATCACCAGAATACACACTATTATGAATTTATAAATATTTATTGAATTACCCTAATGTCATGTATTTTAACATTTAGGGTACATTTGATTCGGGGTCATATAAGATAACCGAGTGATCTTATACAGTCAATAACCAAATGCACCTGAATTTCGTAGTGCTGCTGTTGAAGTGAAGACTGAAAACGGTGCCGCTTTACAGTTAAATGAAACGCAGAGTTTTGGCTTGAACAATTTCTGCATCCTGTCCATCCAATCTGCAGAGATCCAATGGCTGAGGCATTTCATAGAGTCAACAGTATAAAAGAGGGAATTGTTCACTGTACATCAGATCTGATTTTTGCGTCTTTTTCTGCAGTTTGTTTTTCAGTTCTTGATTGAATTTTCTGCACTTTTTAGAATCATTGTAACTAGGTAGATTGATTAGTGATTGTTAGTTAATCTGAGGATGGTTTTACTCTTGTGGCTTGAGGATTCCAGGAGAGAGTTCTTGGGTGAGTTACGGGTTGATTCTTGGGTAGAAAAAGAGAGGAGTTGATCTGGTTTTTTGTTGGATCTTGTACTGTGTTGATATTATTCTAATTGGTATTGCCGTGAGCTCTCCATTTCCAGAGCTCAACGTGGATGTAGATTATCCAAATAGGATAATCGAACCACGGTAAAATCTTGCGTTCTTGTGTGGATGATTAGTGCAAATCTGTGTGGTGTTGAATCTGGAATTGTGTTTGTGTTTGTTGGCTGATTATAACAGCTGCAATCCTCTCTTCATACCTGGTGATCTTCCTTTATACGAATTTTTAAGGACGAATCGTTTGTAAACGTTGTTGGCCACTGTATCATCGAATAATTATTATATAAACAAATTAACTAATCCTAGTAACTCTAGTTATTCTTTTAACCTCCAAAACTCTATAACCCACTATAATCAATTATAATATCTCAAATCTCAAAAAAAAAAAAAAAAAAAAAGTTTTCTTTTCTTTTTTTCACATAATGCACTTAACCATCTTCTCTGGTTCTTACAAAAAGAAATTTTTTCATATTTCTTTCCTATTACACAGAAGACATATCAACATCTTGTTCGGTTCTTCCCAAAAACAACTCTCATGTTTCTCAAACTTTAATCAACCACCATCAAAACCAAAAAGTCACAGAACATGGACTTTGACAGCTTGAGAAATCGGTGGCTGGAGGGTGGTGATGTTGTTGCGGTGTTGCTGCCATCCTTCCTCACGGCCACACCATGCCTTGCATCGTTTACCATCCTAGAGGCTAAAAATTGATATAAAAATAAGAGTAAAATGGGAAGGATCAGTGACCCCTTAAAATTAGACCATTTTTTATATCGAATATTAATTTTTAAATGATACAATAATTAATGGTGTAGATTTGAGTAGTAGAGGTAAATTGGCTTTAAAAATTGTTGTAATTAATAAGAAAATTAAAACAATTAGACATCTCTTTAAATTTACACTTCACTTTTAAACAAAAATTAGGTTTTTTTATTTCACTTACAACGTTACAAAAAAATGAGTAATACATTTTTCTAAGCCTTATATAATTAGAAATTTTGTGTATTATTGATGCGAATATTTAGAAACATTTATTATATGATACAGTGGGATACTTAGAAACACTTATTATATGATAATATAATTCGAAATATTATATTACACAATAATTTCATATTTTATTAAAGGGTTGCAATCAAGATTTCAATGAACAGTAATTATATATAAAGAATAAAGAAAGAATGTCTCTTGGAGATTGTAGATGCAAAAAATATACTATCATGAAAATAGGGTCTGATCCCGTGAGGTTGAGGCCATTGACAATCCGCTAGACCTGCACACATGAAAGGGCAAACGTAAAGCTTCCGGAAAACACCGGGGTGGTGTTTGCCGTAGGCACTCTGATGCTCAAGTTAGCGAGGCTGAAAGAGATTATTTGATAAGAATTAAGGAGTTGAAGAATTACCAGGAGTCTTGTCGGAGGTTAGGACTACGGCGGAGGCGTCAGGTTCTTGGGAGCAAGAACTTTAGGAGCAAATAGATGGTTTTGAATAGTGTAAATTGACTGTGGGAGATTGCCCCCTAATGAGGGGGCAAGCCTCTGTTTTTATAGTGAACCCAAGGGGTTGGAATTCTAGTAGGACATTGAGTCCTCTTTTTTGGGAGATAATCCTTATCGAGAAAGAAATATGATTTCTTGACCTTATTAGATTAAGTTTAATAGTTTAAATAAGATTTGGAATCTTAGTAGGACACTAAATCCTATTTTGAGAGATAATCTCTATCATGAAAGAGACATGGTTTCTTGACCTTATTAGATTAAGTTTAATAGTTTAAATAAGATTTGGAATCTTAGTAGGACACTAAATCCTATTTTGGGAGATAATCCCTATCATAAAAGAGATATGATTTCTTGACCTTATCAGATCAAGTTTAATAGGTTGAGTAAGATTTGGAATCTTAGTAGAAGAGGAAATAGAATGGGATTCTGATTTCCTATTTGTAGACTGTTACAGGCTAATGGGCTGAAACCTAATTTAGCTTGACTTATAGGATAGCCCAACTCATAGAGTGGGTAGGTCGCAAGGTGATTTTAAGCGTAGGCCCAATCGGGATTGGGTTGAGGCCTTGGGCCGTGACATGTTTATTTTGTTATTGGGCCTCGTCAAGCCCAAGAC